TATGTTTCAGTTTGTTTGTTGTAGACTCGGTGAGCTTTGGGTATCTTGGATACCATCGAGTTTTCCATTTGCATCGAGTTTTATTTACACTTTGCTAGCTTGGTAGGCCTATCACGCGGATACGGTTATACAGATGGATATTGTTAGGTTCACCCTATCAGCGCCGAGTTAACCTGCCGGTTGGATACGGTAAGCCTGGTTAATCTTCCTGGTTAATTAACAGGTTACACATAACAGACGGTTTCCAGGGCAACGCTGGCTTAACCTGCCGACCAAACCTGCTACTTACCACACACAACCTCCTGAGCAGCATGTGTTCAGTGGTTATTTCTTTATATCTCTACTACATTATAATTTACGTAAGTTAGCTGACGTAAAGAAACGTAAAAAGGCAGATGGTTGCCTGGGTTGTGCTCAGGTGCCAGGTGCGCGACTGCGTATTTGTTGACAGCTCTCCTTACTTGAACAGTTGACATTTCTGTCACTGACGATAGAAGATGATTGGTGAAGTCTTTGATTAGTTTTACTTCGACTTATTGACGCATTTGAGTGCTAAGTGCTAGAAGTTTCATCTGTGGTGATGGAGTAATTTTAATACGGCTCGAAGTAAACCTGGACAAATAATATTTTTATATCATAAACATATGCGTAATTGCAGCCGCCATTTTCCATATTTCTGAAATTTGTAGCAATAGAATTAGCCTACTCGACGCAGTTGAGTTCACAGCATTTATTGCGTTATAACGTTATATTTATTAGCATTATATATTTATTTATTTCACAGCATTCATTGTTAGCTCTTGATATACAGTGGGGGGAAATAAATATTCATACACTTGAAAAATCGTATTTTAATGTATGTAAGTACACAAACTTAACAGGAAAAACTTTGGTTTTCAACGCTGTCACGGGTCTTGAAGCGTCCAATGAACGAAGCAACTGTACTAAAAGGAACATTCAAGTGGCTAGCAATCTTCCTATAACTTTCTCCTTCCTTCCAACACGATAGAATTAGTTGTTTTTGGGAACTTACTAGTTCTTTACCTTTAGCAACAAACTCCCTAACAAACATTGAGAATCTTAAGGTGGTGTGCCAAGAAGAATGGTATAAAATACCAGTCAGCATCTGCAAATCATTGGTCGAGACGTATAGAAATAGACTGGTATCTGTTGAGCTGAATAAAGGGTATTCAACCAAGTATTAAATTAAAATAATGCGGATTTATTGTTTTGTACGAATACTCTTTTCACCCGAAAAGTGAACATGTTGCATTAATTTTTGTTGCATTGAGATTTAATTTCTTTTGATAGTATTTTTGAATACTATGCGTCTCTATACATAATTTAAATCACTTTTCCTGTTAAGTTTGTGTAATTACATACATTAAAATACGATTTTTCAAGTGTACGAATATTTATTTCCCCCCACTGTATATACGGATGCCTGTACTACTGAGGAACCAAGCTATTCGGATCGTTCGCTTTATTGTTTGATTTCGTGAATTATTGATTATCCTGTCGAATTATTGTTGATTTATCTTGGGTCATATGATTTTATTACTTGTAAATAGCGTACCTTTTTTCTTGTATATTATTATTGTTTATTTGTCATTTATTTCTAGAAATCGTACGTCATGGAATGTTCGTTCTTATCCTGCCATGATGGCGCGTAATGGAATAGCCAAAAAAGTTCCCAAAGGACTAGACTATAAGAAAGTCCTCTACAGTAATAATTATTTAAATTATCAGAGGCGTAATGCAATATAATTCCAATCTCCCTATTCAAGGCATATCAAATCTGCTCTGCACAGTTAAAACTCTTCTTCTTTCCTTGCACGTATTGAAATACGTCACCATTAAGCCTAATTATCCAGAGGATAATTACAGGCCCCAAATAATTTACATCTACATAACAATTGCAAATTTACTAAAGGCATATGTTAGGAGTGGTTATGATATTACTTCTTACTGAGCCTTTACAATTTTTTTCTGATTTGAAGCATAACTAATCTATTTACATCATTTGTTCGACAGTTGCTGAACATTTTCTACAGTAAACGCACTATGAACGTTCAGCGGCTGCTGCATAGAACAGAAAACTTGTACATCTAGAAAATGCATAAAAAGGCGTAGTGTGCTTCATTCGTTATTTTTTATTGATAATAAGAATTAATAAGACACCTATATTACTAATTCAAACTGACATAGGGCTACAGTCATCAAAGTTCAAAGCATGGGACTTTTCACTTACTTCAATTTCACGCAAACTGTTAACAAAGTGCAACTGCTTATATTGAAGTACGTTTGAATATAACTGAAAATTTCCTGAGTCGCTAAACTGTGAAATAGTTCACGCGTTTCATTGTAATAAGGTTTAGGTGGCAGATATGTTACATGCTGGTTTAGAAATGTTACCCCGTCGCCACGATTTGTGGTCACATGCTCTATAATCAGGAGGAAACAGTCTAAAAAGTCTACGGATAACTTTAATGAATGTAATAGCTATATTGCATAGACCATTTCGTTTCTCCAAGTTGAACGCCTTAATACAGCACCCTTCATCCTTCTTCCAAAATTAGGAGAAAAATTAGGATTCTGTTACAAATTATAAATTAGAAGTGTTATTTACTTTCCTGCACACTAAGTCATTACAAACTATTAGTTAGGTACAATCCTCTTTAATAATGTACTGCCAAAAAGCGTAAAATCCCAAACTACTACATGAATACGATCGAAAAGATTAGTAATTGATAAGGCTGGTCTCATTATATAGATATTGCCTTGAATAACTTAAAAAAGAACATACGTAGATAACTGATTATGTGGATTTTGCTTACTGATAAGGTTTTGTTTATTAATAAGGTCCAGAAATATCCCCAACACAAAGATGCTATCACAAACACAGCGAGATCCAGCGGAACTGCCTGCCGTATGTTTGTTTAACAATTTTCTACATTACGCCGCCGATTGTTAACATCACATTAGGTTTGGTCCTTGTAGATTCCTCAGTTCATTGCCGAACCTGAAATATTGATTCAATGATCAGCAGATAATTAAACATTAAAGAGACTTTGACCAGCATTTATGGGCGGACTAACATTATTTATTACCGCTGTATTGTATAAAAATGATGTAAATGGTGAATAATAAGTATTATTACTGATCATGGAATCATTACTCATCCGCGCTGGAATGCTGGCCGAAATAGCCTGTTAACTTATTCCCGATAACTTAAATAATATTGCAATATGGCTTATCCTCCGGAAAGTTGAATCACGAACTTCCTCACCTAAGTTTCTGCAGTTGAAAGATATTCTCCATCAAGCAAGACGCGGTAATTAATTCAATTAAATTTTCCCTTCACTCTGTTATTCAGTGTTTGTACTATAACAAGCAATAACTGAACATGAAAGAAAACGAGCCTGATTTAAAGCCAGGCTAATTTATTTGCAGAATACCTCAACCCCTCTCAAGGCGTTAGTTATATAGAACAAATTTCCGTTCAACTTGAGATATTCTTGCACCGTGGCTCCATGTGCAATTCATATACAATAAGTAATTCAATGCCGTTTACTGTTTGCTTACGTAAATTATTGTACTGTAGCACTGACAAAAGTTTTAAAATTACCATTGAGACCGGCTCTGTACCTCAATCAATTCTATTTAGACAATCGCGCAAAATAAATTTCAAGAATAAATGACGAAAATCCAGGTTTAATTAGTAGTTTTATGAAAATACATTTACAAAATTTCAGGCACGACTCAAATTACACGTTATAACAATTCATGCAACTACTCTATTTTAATGCCTATGATGATGTCCTTATCTAGATTTGCATTATTTTGAGACATGTCATCTAAATGGAAATAATTTACCATCTGAATAGGAATGATATGCAGGTTCTATTCAATTTTTCTTGATTAGTAATGTTATAAGACTGCTGTAAAATTCCTCGTGTTTCAGGCCGTTTATATTGACTAAATATATTTTAGATTTTATTAAATGACAATTTGATATAATTTCAATGGGGTCCAAATTTTTACATCCTTAATTTGGCCTTACGATCAGAAAAGCTTAACTGCAGGGCACGCGGCGCTGCTGCGTGAATAATTCAGTTATTAGGTGACAAGTTCTTTCAATTTATTCATATTCATTTTTATGTAAATAATACTGGTTGACATAATCAAGCTTATAATCAAACACACGACGTCAACATAAAGCAAACACCCGAAAATCGTTTGACTAAAAAACCGCAACTGGAAATAAAATATTTTTCAAACACGTTCACGTCCGCTGAAACTCACGGACTCTAACAATTATTTAGAAAGTAGCATTTAAAAGTAAAAAAACGGATTTTAAAATGACCAGGAGATGTTGACATGTAAAATGACTGAGAAAAACGGATGTGTCACATTGTCCAAATGGTGACTAAATTTCTCCACGTAGCACTGATACCCCTTTTGCCGGCCCAAAATAGGTCAGGATGACCCACAAAGCACAAAAAGTGCATCGCTACTTGGACAAACTCTCACTCATTTCTGTGAATGTGATGGCAGTTCCAGGGAACGTTTCTATAATTAAATAAAATACAGAAGTGAAGAATTTATTATCTAATTTATCATCATTTTAACAATCGAGTCTGTAGTATAACACGAAGAGCAGTAAAATTATATACATAAAACAACTCAAGGAAGGCCTCATCTTTAACTAAATTAAAACAAACGCATGCAACACGAACGCTGCCGTACAACGCGTAAGTTGAAAGAAATTTTCTATTCAACGTAAGTTGAAGTAGTTCTTAACGTTCCTTGAGCGTAGTTTGTTATTCAACATAATTTAAATAATTCAAAACAATGGAATAATTCATTATAATTTGAGTAATTTTACATAAGTTGAATAATTCATCCTTATTTGAATAATTCGACATAATTTTAATTATTCAACTTAATTTTAATTATTCAACATGAGTTGCATTACTGAACATAATTTGAATATTTCAAAATAACTTGAACAATTCAACATAATATGAATAATTCCACATAAGTAAAATACTTGAAGATAAGTTGAATAATTTCACATAAGTTGAGCAAATCAACATAAGTTGAAGAGACGAGAACGTTGACACTCACCGCCGCAGCCACCAACGCAACACACAACTTTCATCAAGTCTGTGTACAAGAAGTAGTAACACTAGCAATACTAGAAGGCACTATTCATACATCTGCAAATTTGAGTTGCAAAGTACTGATTTTGGAATCATGTTGGAGCTGAATAGTTTACAGTTGAAATGCAGAATTATTTTAGCAAGTTGAAAACGTTTGAGTTGACTGCAGGCAAGTTGAACGCGTTTGAAGAGACTACGTTTAAGTTGAACACGTTCAAATTGAGCACGTTTGAATTGAACAAGCTCAAGTTGAACACGTTTGTTTTGACTGCATGGTATCACGTTACGATAACACGTTGGAGTAAAACAAGTTCAAGTTGAACACGTTTAAGTTGAACACGTTTAAGCTGAACACGTTCAAGTTGAGCACGTTTAAGTTGAACAAGTACAAGTTGAGCACGTTTAAGTTGAACAAGTTCAAGTTGAACACGTTTAAGTTGAACACGTTCAAGTTGAACACGTTTAAGCTGAACACGTATGAGCTGACTACGTTTAAGTTGAACAGGTTCAAGTTGAATAAGTTCAAGTTGAAAACGTTCTCGTTGCTCTTCACATTTTAGCGACCATCCTCCTGACGAGCTCCTGCAGCTGGTGCTGCCGCTTGTTGGCTGTTTCGATAACCTGTACAGATATTACGATAAATACCATCTGTATCGTTACGATAAATACCATCTGTATCGTTACGATAAATACCATCTGTATCGTTACGATAAAGACCATCTGTATCACCACACACCATGCACCTTACATCCATACATCGCACAGCTAGAAGGCTGTATGGCTAGCACACAAAAAGCTCTAAGTATTCAGCCTGTACTAAATCACCAACACATTACTAACACACCACACTAAGAAGCACCAACACACCCATACAGTCACACAAAACAACATCACCATACCACACACACATGAAACCATGATTTTATGTGTCACTTACAACACTTCCATGTTCTTCCGGGCCACATATACAGAACAGCCATACAAAATGCAGACCTAGGCTGAACCATCACCCCTGTGTACTTGTGTACAAACAATCCGTACGCCCAGTCCTGTATTATTCCAGTCCAGCCTGGACTCCCACTATCTAACCCGCGCTCGAACAGCTGTGGTCCGAACCGGGGCCACAGCTGCGTGACCGGTATTAGGTGTAAGGTTGTTAGTTACATATTAGAAGACACCAAAAGGAAATCGTTCTTACGAGACAATACCGTCCGTGAGGTTAGTCGTTAAGAGAAGGTCCTACCGTGAGCAACCCATTTCTAGGCCTAGTTGACCTATTGCGCCACTCTCTTGCTGTGCCTTGAGTCAACTTACACTGCCTTTATTGGTGAGCTGCTATGTACCCTAGCAATATATTAGCTATTTCTGTTTCATGTAAATTGTTTAAAAAGTGATCATATGTAGAATCTGTTATGCAAGTGCTTAAGTGAGTAATATCAGTCAGTATGAAAGTATTCATTTCCAATATAGGGTTGCGGGTGACGAGAGTGAGCTGCCTCCGGGACCGCGTATTCCAAGTATGTGCTTGGAAGTATTTGGCTTGCTCCCAGGATCTGGGATGTGCTACGACCTCTGTCACCTATTGGGAACTGTTGGACTGGGCACTCCGCTTGTATGGTCATTTCATTGTTTCTAGCAATACTGTTTCATTATTGTTCTTGTTCAATAAATTAGTTCGGTGGCTGATGTTTGATGCTTCCGCGTTACGAACCCGATGAAGAAAAAGACTTCATTACACTAGGGTAACATCATCATCATCACCACCACCACCACCACCATCACCATCACCACCACCACCACCACCACCCACCACCAGCACCACAACCCATCATCACCTCCTCATGGTTGGCGCTGGCGTTGGTGTCGTAGTCCATGATGCAGGCGTCCACCACAACCACCACCATCACCACCATCACCACCACCATCACCACCACCACCATCACCACCACCACCAACACCATACATCATCACCTCCTCATGGTTGGCGCTGGCGTTGGTGTCGTAGTCCATGATGCAGGCGTTGGTGATGAGGCTGAAGGCAAACACCCTCATGCCGCAGTGGCGGGCCACCACCACCTCGGGCACCGTCGACATGCCCACCGCGTCCGCGCCTGGGGGGAGAGGGTTAGGAGTTCAGGGGGTTAGTGCGTGCCTAGCGGCGTGGGGAGGGGTTTAGAAGGGGTCATGAAGGGAGGGAAAATGGTGTTAGGGGTGGGGAGGGTTGAGGAAGTTAGGGGGTGTTAAGGTGGTCGAGGGGGAATGGGGTCCTAAGGGACAGGGATGCTTATGGGTGGGATGAAGGCTGTTTATTAGATATAAAAGAAAATTATTAGGTAATATAATATATTTTCATATACCATACCCATTTGTCGCACCCAGCGCCCCAGCGGGCCTCACCCAGCAGCTTGAGGAGGCGCAGCTCAGCAACCGTCTCGTACGTGGGCCCACCCAGCATGACGTAGACCCCCTCCTTGACGATGGGGCCCAGGCCCATTTCCTCAGCGATGGCCTGGAACAGGGCCCGGCTGTCCCGGTCGTAGGCATTGTTCAGGGACGGGAACCTGGGCCCGAAGCGCTCGTCGTTGCGGCCTCGCAACGGCGAGTCCCCGGCAAAACCCTGCCAAGGGAAATTTTTATTTAGGGGTAACTCATCTAGGTGTCAGATTTGGTTATTCAGGTTTTTAATGCTTAACTTCACTAGGTGCTAGATATGGTTCATTCGAGTTTTAACTCCCACGACACGAAAGGCGCGAACGGTACATCTGCAGCAGTACCAGACCGCCGACAAACATACTCGAGTGCAGAAGTCATTAGCCCCCACAACACGAGAATAGCTCTCTCCGGGAATTAGCCGTATTAGAGCATTAGTAACCATCAGCTGGAACTAACCAAGAATTCCACCTTCGCCTATAAGTTAGTGGAGATTTCTCCAGAACTATGGTGGAATATTCTCTTGATATTCTCAGATCTGGCTACGAAAGAGTCGAAACGCCTGCACCCCCACCTAGTACAACTGAGCACACACAATTTGCCCGCGAGGGGTAACTAAGCTAAAATAACCTTGGTCTGTACAGAGGAGCAGATAAAAATTTTCATTTTCGTCCACCTCGTGGCATTAATGTGAATAAAAATAATGTATTGGATTTTAAGATTTTATTCTGGTTGAACCGGAGAGAAAAGCAATAAGAATTTTTGGTGGCAGGCAAGAGCGGGAATATTTCAGGGGATTTTATCCTAAACAGCTCGTCACGGCCGTAAAGCTGGCCTTTAATGGGGTAACTAAGGTAGGGGTCAGCAGGCTTGGTTAATTTAGGGTAAAAGGGTAACCTAGATATGAACCTTGATGATCATGACTCACGCTCATGTTGATGTGGTCCTTGATGATCATGATGTCACCAACGTTGAACTGTTCGTTGATGCCACCAGCAGCGTTGGTGACGATCAGCTGCTCTACACCCATCAGCTTCATCACCCGCACAGGCATCGCGCACTGCATCACAAACACAGGAATGATAGTGGCTCTAAACAAACTATACACTAACTAACCCCGCAAGTCCCCTCCAAGTGCCCCGCAAGTACCCTCCAAGTGCCCTGCAAGTACCCTCCACGTACCCTGCAAGTACCCCACATATACCCTTCAAGTACCCCGCAAGTACCCTACAAGTACCCCACATGTACCCTCCACGTACCCCGCAAGTACCCCGCAAGTACCCTACAAGTACCCCACATGTACCCTCCAAGTACCCTGCAAGTACCCCGCAAGTACCCTACAAGTACCTCACATGTACCTTCCACGTACCCCTCTTGTACCCTACCTTCCACAGAGGGTACCCCTCGTAGGCGTGGAAGCGGCCCTGCATGCAGACGACAGGTACCCCGTCAAGTACCCCCAGTACCAGCTTGCCCGCGTGCCCCTGGACCGTGGACACGGGGAAGTTGGGCACCTCCTCATAGGGCACCTCGTGGCGCTCCTTCAGCAGGGCCGCCAGCCCCCCTGGGGGGTGCCCGGGGGAGGGGGTTAGTGGGGGAGGTAAGGTACTTAAGGAGCAGGAATATATTTAATATTTTCAATATATATTGAATATATTGAAATAATAATATACTTATTATATGTATCATAATATATTATTAGATTTTTTTATTATTAATAGTAATATATTTTAATAATAATAAGAATATAATAATATTGATATACCAATACAGTTTTTAATATATTTAATATGTTTTAATACTAATTTAAATGCTCATTATATCAACTATACGTTATATGATTGTTTACCCTACTTTATATATATGATGAAATAAGAAATATTAGGCATAGATGAAATCTTATGTTTGCACAATATTCGGTATTAATTTTATAATATAGTGAACTTGGATCTCTACGGCATATTTTTGCTGCAAGGTAGTCAAAAATTCAGAGTTATTTCCGTTTCATGGTACATAATCTTACTTTAGTTGGTGCTACAACGTCACATTCTGATCTTATGTTATCAGTGCTAGTACTCTTATCTTCAATTAGATGCATATTTATGCGCATATTTAAAGCTAATATGTTAGGTTTTAAAACACTCTTTGAAGTATATGTGTGGATTAAAAATTTCTTAATATGTTCATTATTTTTCGGTGATCTAATTAACTTCTATAGATTAATGAGACGCGATTAATAAGGATAATCACCGAGGCCTGAGCCGCAGATGACACCGACACGGGGGCGGTGCGGTGAGCGCTGCAGCAGGAACTCTGCGCTCTCACTGATCACCTCGTAGCTGAAACTGGGGGAGGAGGGTAACTAGGGTGATTATGAGGGTTTGAAAATGATAGGGAGGGGGTGTGATTGTGTGGGTGATGGTTCGGGTGTAGGGTGATGGTTCAATCTTGGTAATCTGAACTGCAACCACTGGGCCACCCTGCTATGTTGTTGTAGTGCAACAAGGGTTGGGTAATAATGGTGGGGTGAAATGGGTGATGTTATACTGAGGGTGTTAGTGGTTTGTGGGGTTGAAGGTGTTTGTGAAGAAAATGTGCGTGATCAATTAAATAAATGAATTAATTAACCTATGATATTAGAATTAATCTACGTAAAAAATGCAGCAAAAGTCACACAAATGTCAACAGGCAAATTTTAATATTTTTATTTACCAGATAAATACAACAAGCATATTTTAAAAAGCACTACAAATCAAAAACAAAAATGCAAAATTGGAATGATGAAATAAATGTTCTTGATTTTTATTAAATACATTCATTGCATGGTACATGGAAATTTCACCATTCACTTGCTTCACTATGAAGAAGACTTGAATTTGCTGTAAAGCAACTTTATAGCGTTATTATTATAACAATAATTATGATCACCATCATTAATATCACTACCATTTTATCACCATCACTATTCTAAATTCTGAGCCCTTTTAAGCTTGATAATGAACCCTTAATTTAAACCCTTATATTCAGCCCCACACACACGAGACCTTCACTCAGATGTCCACTACACAAAAGTTAGTTTACAAAGCACACAGCTCACACCTGGCCACACAACCACACAGAAAACTATACACGTGTTGCTGGTGAGCAAACACAAGGACGAACCTGACGTCTGGAGCACGCGTTCGTCGTAGGGATTTTAATATAGGATTGATAATATATAATAATAGCAGGAAAAATATAAAGTTAGCAACTTAGGGATAGTTATATAGAAGTTATAAAATAGGGCTAATAATATATGTGTAAAAATGTTGGGCTAATAATAAATAATGAATAAAGAATAGGGGTAAGACGAGACATGTGTAAGTTTAGAAATAAGGGTCAAAATATAGAGCTTACAATATAGAACTAGTAATATAGAGGTAAGAATAGATATAGGTAAGCTTACTAATAAAATGATGGATATAAGCTTAGTAATGAGTTTCATGTATTATAGACTTATATATAGAAGACTTATATATAGAAAACTATAGACTTATAGTTTTCTTCAATGGCAATAATCCCTAATTTCTGTTTGGTTGGAGCAGCTTTAAAATATTTCTTTTTGTTTATAAATTTTAATACGATATTTCAAGGTATATTAATATATTAATATTACCAATAATATTAATGATAGCATTAACATATTAATATCACCCCAAATAACTTAATTGCGGTGTGACTGAGGTATATATATTTCATAACCCTCCCCTGGAACCTAATTCCCCCAGGTTCTCAATTTACCCCCACATCTGGGGGTCCACCTTGAAGATTCCACCCAGCAGGGGATTTATTTCCCCAAATAGGTGGAAGACTTCCCCCATATGGGTGTTTATCCCCATGTCGGGGTAACTAAGGGGGGAAGTGTTATTGTGTCGGGGTAACTATTCCCCATGTCGGGGTAACTATTCCCCATTTCGGGGTAACTAAGGGGGGAAAGTGAGAGAAGTAGGGGAGGGGGGAAGAGAAGGATGCAAAAAAATGTAAAGAGATGGGAAGTGAAGTGAACAAATAAAAGGGGATGTGATGAATGATGTGAATGATGAATGATGTGAATGATGAATGATGTGAATGATGAATGATGTGAATGATGAATGGTATGAATGGTGTGAAGGTTATGAATGGTATGAATGATGATTGAGTGAATGATGAATGGCATGAATAATGAAAGATAAGAACAATGAATGTACGAATATAAGGAAAGAGGAAGGAAGGAGGGAGAGAAAAAGAATAAAAATTAAATATTTTTATATATTATATTTTTCTATAAATTATTTAATCAGTCTAATAATTTCATACACGCTATTTTGTTCGCTGAATAATGAAAGCAAACAACTCTAAAGCTTCACAATAAAGACAATTTATCTACAATTGATTTACAATCCAGAAAAATATTCAAACAAATTCAAAATACACAAACATTATTCACACAGTTTTTTAGGAAAGTGCACTGCGTTAAAACAAATTCAAATTTATACAAGTTCTTCAAAAGTCAAAAAAATTCACTAACTCAATTCTAAATTCAAATTTAAGTTAAAAAACAATTTCTAAGGACATTCCAATAACTTGAATTTTCACCGTTAAAAAAAATTGTGTCTTTTATTTCGAAATGAAATGACATGAATGAAAATGTCCAAAATTTACTCACGTATTACAATTATTAATATACAATAATACATTTCATTTTGATTAATTAATTAATCAATTTGTTTATTTAGATGCACACAATTTTGTATAAATAGAGTATCTTGCATGCAATAACAAAAAATCGATAATTTTGTTGAAATGTAATAATATTGAAAATAATTTTTTATCTAAATAATAGATGTATACATATATTATACTATTATACAGAATGCAGCATGTATATATAGTATTGCCGTATGAATAACACGCTTTCACAAAATATTGTATTTCTGTTTCTAATCTGTTTCTTCTATAATATGATTTTTCGAAATAAAAGTTTTTTGAAAAAAAAAATTATTTTTTACCAAAGTCAGAAAAAGTTGACTAATACGAAAAAATTAAAATAAATAATATCAACGTAATATAAATAATATATAATCATCATATCAACAATAATATCAACGAGATTCATTTTCCAGCCGCCAGAAATCCATCTCAAGTTCAGCCCGACTGGACATGATAAGACATCATAAGACATGATAAGACATGATAAGACATGACAGACATTTCGGTTAATGAAGTTCATGATGACAGTTGTGTCAATCATGAAATCATGATTGTGCCAGTCATGATTATGTCAATCATGCATAACTCTAAGGAATGTTCAGCACGGGAAATACAATGTCTGTATTTCCCGAGCCAAGATAAGTGATAAGACGGCCTCGGTATGTCAACTTACTGAGCTTTGTCCTAAGATAACAATGAATGGTAACAAGATAACAACGAATGGTAACATGATAACAATGAATGGTTAGAAGGTAACAATGAATGGTAACAAGATAACAATGAATGGTAACATGATAGCAATGAATGGTAAGAAGACAACAATAAATGGTAACAAGATAACAATGATTGGTAACAGGATAACAATGAATGGTAACAAGATAACAATGGATGGTAAGAAGATAACAATGATTGGTAACAGGATAATAATGATTGGTAATGATGAATGATTAGAAGATAACAATGGATGGTAACAGGATAACAATGGATGGTAACAAGATAACAATGGATGGTAAGAAGATAACAATGAATGGTAACAGGATAACAATGAATGGTAACAAGATATCAATGAATGGTAAGAAGATAACAATGATTGGTAACATGATAATATTGAATGGCAACAAGATAACAATGAATGGTAAGAAGATAACAATGAATGGTAACAGGATAACAATGAATGGTAACAGGATAACAATGTACGGTAACAAGATAACAATGAATGGTAAGAAGATAACAATGAACGGTAACAGGATAACAATGAACGGTAACAAGATAACAATTAATGGTAAGAAGATAACAATGAATGGTAACAGGATAACAATGAACGGTAACAAGATAAAAATGAATGGTAACAAGATACCAATGGATGATAACAAAATAACAATGCATGGTAACAAGATAACAATGGATGGTAAGAAAATAACAATGAATGGTAACAGGATAATAATGAATGGTAACGGGATAACAATGAATGGTAAGAAGATAACAATGAATGGTAACAAGATAACAATGGATGGTAAGAAGATAACAATGAATGGTAAGAAGATAACGATGAATGGTAAAAATATAACAATGAATGAATACAATGAAATAATGAAATTCAAATCATAAATTAATGATTACGGTCCAGTGAAAGCTTCTTTACCTGTTTTCCGCGTCCATGTCACAACTGTCGCTTGAATTTAACAGATTATCGTAGAATTTAACGGATTATCGTAGAATTTAACGGATTATCGTAGAATTTAACGGATTATCGTAGAATTTAACAGACTATTGTAGAATTTAACGGATTATCGTAGAATCAACGAGCTTTTGAGAACTAAACTATAACATATATTA